AGTAGTAGTAGTAGAGAGAGAGAGAGAGAGAGAGAGAGAGAGAGAGAGAGAGAGAGGTTGAAATGGTTGAAATGAAGCAAAATAGGAAAGATGAAAGAGAAGAAAATTCGGAACGAATGAAAACAGAAAGAAGTGATAAAAACGAATATCAATTGTGTTGAACTGTTTTCGTTTTCGTTTTCTTTCTGTAAATTTGAAATGGATATTTTCCTATGCATGTACATCTATCCTTTCTCTATGTATGTGTGTATGTTTATGTATATATGTGTATGTGTGTGTGTGTATGTGTATGTGTATGTTGTGTGTGGATATATATTATACATATATATATATATATATATATATATGCATCGAAATAACAATTTAGTGGGTTGGGGAGGGTGGAAAAAAAAGAATGAAAAAGAAAAAAATGTTGAAGCAATTTGATGGAATGCTACTTCGCAAGCAGTAGCACTTATTTTAGAAAGGGCAACGATCAATGTTGAATTGAAAAAAATAAAATAAAACTAAAAAGAAAAAAAAAAAAATTACCCTACAACTAATGACTACAGCCAACCATCAGTAGTACGACAACCACCGCCATATACATAACCAATCAAGGATTTCAATTCTCTTGCTCTAACCATTTTACCCTACCCATCCTTCATTTTCTACTTCCATTTCCCCTCCTCTAATTCCTTTAAGCAAACAAACTTACACCTCTACACTCCGCCTCTCAACCTTCTCTACCTTTTTCTTTTTTTTTCCTTGTTCAATAGAGATATCTTGATCAGCTCCGGAATGCATCATCGATTGTTAACAAATGATAATTACATTTACGATTTCTCCTTTTTCCTATTATCAGTCTACTTATCATTTTTCTACACTTTCATTAGCCGAATTTTTTGATTCCCATCTAAAGCGATCAGATTCGAGTGTATTCCCACTATCATCGTGCTTTTTCATCTTCTGAATTTGTCCTTTACTCTTCCTCTCCCATCCTGTCACCTACTGCTTCCATATATATATATATATATATATTATTTTTTTAATTATTGTTTACACACACGCGTACACACACACACACACACACGCACACACACACACACACACACACACATACACACATGCACATAAACACACATACACACACATGTACACACACTTAACAATCAGCATGCACTTTCCTGTTTTATTTTGCCGTATTTTTTGATTTGAGTAAACATAATGGTGACATCGTCAAAGCGACAATTTTATTTCGAGGAAAGATTGAGAGAATTGAGAAGAGAACTTATCATTTCGCAATAAATTATTGTTGCAAATGGGAACAGTGCAAGCATTTCAATTTTTATTGATAATTCAGAAATATTGCTGTAATCATTTCACCGGAATAGTTTTCAGGATGAATTCTGAACATTTCCAGGTGATTCCTAGCAGTATGTTCATTTTTCTTTTCTTCCATATCCTTTTTTTTCAGATATTTTGGATATATCTACAAAAAGATCAAAGGTAAGGCGTGCTATGTGTACTTTTAAATCCGGAATTATCATTCCTGAGAAAAGACGAACTACTGCTACTCTCATCAGCATGTATTACGTGCATGATACGACGCATTTTTATAACCCAGCGTTATGATTACATCCTTTTTTCTTTCTTTCTAAAGCTGAATGTAGCAAACATTCCAGAATACCATGGAACAGATAAAAAATTTGGAACGAAAACATTTGTTCCTGGATTTCATAAACCGTTCAACAGTGAGTGAGAGTGCATTCGCTGACAAAACAACAACGTAATGTACACGGAGAACGATTATAGTACAAGGAAATATCGTAACATGCAGAACATACCTCAGCATCGCATGGAGATACTATATTTCGAGACACAGTGTTTACATGCAGTGAAAACAGATGCCGATTTCTTGTATTAAAAATCATGACAGGTCAGAAAAATATATTCAATATAAGCAGTCTAGAATACTTCTAGGAACTGAAAAAATGGAAACCATGATAAGAAGGCGATGAATGATAAAGGAGTAAAAATAAAATCAATCATGTAGAATATGTACAGTTACAAAACGAAAAACAAAAGCCAACAGTTTTCAAAATGAAAAACTGAGATCAGACGGAAGGATTAATATAGCCATATTATAAAATTTTTCCATCGAAGCGGTTACGATAGTAAAATTACCACGTCAAACAAAGTACTGATACTAACAACAGAATGAGGAACGGAAGATGAACAGTAAAATAAAGAAAGTTTTAAACAAACTGAAACTAAAGAAACACAGTCCTTCTAATTCTGGAAATTTACATCGGAATGAAAATCAAGAAATGCGGTCTATGGAAAACTGAATAAATGAGTAGAAAAACAGTCCATCACTTCAATAACAACTTAATAGTCACGCTTAATATACAAATACGGTCGGTACATGTGCAGCAACCTAACTGCGAGAAAAAGAGTCCTTAGGCTTTTCGTGATGTAATGCTACATTAACTCCTTTCGAGTAATGGTAAGTAGAACTAGAGCAGTTGTATGACATCCGACTTCCACGTGTCGATCGAAATATGAGAAGTACCAGTACCAAGAGGAAAAACTAAATTGGATTTGATAAAGGTGCTAATGTGACAAAATCAGAAAGCTCTATAACAATCCTATTTAATCTTAATTAACAAAGTGGATAGAACTTGGATATTTACGTCGAAAACTGGATCTTTAAAGGAGTTGCATACGCTACTGATTGTTTTTTCTAAATTGTTGTTCTTATCACAAAAATTAAAACAGTATCCATAAAAACACTTGTAATCAAGGATGATGGACTTTTTTTAAAAGACTAAATGGAAAGTTTTTACCTCAATGCAAATGAAGACTACAGCAATGTAGGCTGCAATCTTAATTTCTTCAAAGACCCAATTCGTATAAACTTCACTGCAACCCTGAAAAAACAGCAAAATATTCCTGCTGTTGAAGAGAAACAGGGAGTTTTGGGAATACTCAATTCGGGAAAAATCCAACGACTTCTTATACAGGAATGATATTAAATTTATTTGCCATACATATTCGCGAAAATTGAAAAATGCTACCCGTTGAAACCACAGGTCCCAATTTTCCTTGTGTTTGCCGCAATTTTTCATCGAAGAATTGAGATTGAAATAAATCTCATTACAACAACTATCAGGAACGTAAGAACTGTTTGACCATTCTTGATTATCAAGCCAATCTGCCGGGCCATTTACACCGCAGCAGAGGAACTACAACATTTAGAAACAATTAGGAGGAGGAAATAAATGAATTCAAAATTTTCTTTCCCTTGTCTTAATCAAGGTATTACATAAGAAGCAAATTTAACCCACCACTTTCTGCAAATTATCCCATGTCAACTGACTACTCGTAAACACTTCCCGATGATACTTTAAGCTTTGCTCCATATCACTGTGTACAAGTCGATATATATCCGACTGATAATTCAACGCAAGGACACTCACAACGAATTGAACGGCCAACAGAAGAAAGACGAAAAATATATACTGAAAGGTATCATATCGAACAGAACCAAAACCCACCATGTGTTGCTTATCTTTTATAGTTTAATACCACCACCAAAACAGGTAGTATTACAATTCCTAAACTTCGAACTTTTGCGAATTAAATTTTAGGCAGCACTAAATGATAGAAAGATCCTCTTCTACCTTGGAACTTGTCATTTCAAACAACTTACAGCAAGTAAAAGTAAGCGTGATTCAATCCATACTCCTAAACAACCAACAAATGTAATAATAATCACTGTAAGTCCAGCCGCAATACATAAGCCAACTGCAGAAAGAGTACCATAAGATGATGGAATAAGATCGATGTAAGTCTGCTTTGTTACATAAGACCACAAGCCGATCAGTAAGGAACCCAAACCAAGAACCTGTAATATATTAAAAATACAATCCCCCATTACCAGGACTTCTTAAGCATTGAGCATAATGTGTCTCTAATGATAAAAATGATACTATAGGTCCAAAATGGCTGTAAAATGATATCTTAAATTCAGTTGTCATTTTAACCAACAAACTGTTTTGCTTAATTTAACCGATGATCAAGCTGCACTGATAGTCTCTCACTACAGTGAATCCGATATAGCCAACTACAATATCTGATTTGTGCCAACTACATTAACGGTAGTTTATAATTATTTAAAAAGCATGAAGTATTAAATTCATGGGCACACGCGAAATACTAACCCAAAAGATGGTGTTGAAAACGAAAAATGCCCGTTTTTGAGCACTACGACTAAACAAATAAGATGCCATATACTTGAACAAAAAGCCTGCAACTTAATGAGGAATTGCGAGATATCATTTCAAACATATAACTTATCAACTTGAACACATATTATATCAGCTAGAACACCTGAAGCACGTGGCCTGCCTTTTCGAATACGTAACTTATAACATTCCCACACCTCTACACTCAGAAATTAGACAGCCTCATTGTAAGTCCATGACAAACCCAACGGATAAAGATAATTTAAAGTGACTTTAGCAACGACACCACAAATCGCCGGGAGGATCACAAAAATAACCGAGCAGATTCAACGGCCTCACAGAGTTGCGTGAAATATTGACTATTTCGATAAAAGATGTTAGATGAACCAATACCGAGTATGATAGATACGAGATACGAGCGGAATTTAGGTCGATCTAACTATTTCTTCGTTTCACTTTTGTCGTATTTGCCCTGTCCAAAATGAATATTCCAACGTTTTTTCATTTCTTTTTTTTTAAGTCATAGTTTGAGATTAGATTTGAGAGTAACATTTACTCTCTCACTGTACTAATTTGATCAATTCATGATACATTCACGATGAGTTCCTGTTGCACTGAACTTTACACATGTTAGTATCTTTTTCCCACGTAAAAGACCTCAGCATACGTACTATGTTGAAGCATTTAGCTATCAATTGTTAATCTGATACTCAAACAAGCCTGACCAGGAGAGCTCCCGTCAATTATTCCGTATAATCTAAACTTTCATTTCGATCAGTGCATTAGCAGATTCGTTCGACCTTGTTCAAAATGTCTGATTTTAATAATTTTTATTTAAAATTTGAATTTCTAATCTGCGAATTTTTTTTGATGATGTCATTATTATGCATAAAGCTAAAAATTTGTAAACGACGTTTCAAATTATTTACTAGTTTTTATTTATTAAAGTTTGTATTTCCTTTTGTATTTACTAAATTTTCATTCGTCGTCGGCGGTCGGTTGGAAATGGGTGAGTGGTGTTAGTGGCGAATTTCCAGGGATCCGTGGGAGTTGCATAGGCGGAAAACGTTGCAAAGCCTGAGAGGACCGTAGAATAATGAATGTGGTGCGGGTGGTGTAGCTTTTTTCAAGTTTTTCCAGGGTGAGGTTTCCAGTTGTTTTAGGAGAGGTTTCCAATTTTTCTTGAATGAAATTTCTTCTAGGTGGGGTTTTTGAATTTCTTCAAGACAAGATTTGGTTTACGAACGGACTCCCACATTTTCGAGGTTGGAATAGCTTAGGTTGTTTGTTTGATACTGAGTAAAACTAGCCATAATATTTAATTTCTTGTCAGCCAGAGTTAACCAGTATTTCTTTGCAGACTTTAGAGCGTGCTAATGGCCGCTATCCGTAAAAAATTGGTCATTGTTGGCGATGGCGCTTGCGGTGAGTCATCATTTTGCATATGTAAAAGATTTTGCAGCTCAGTTCTATCCGAAATAAAGTGGATTAAAGAACTTCAAGTTCAATTTCAGGATTTAAATAGGAAAGGGTTTTAATTTGATTTTGACTCGATGAGGATGTAGGTACTTGAAAATCATAAATTCCATCTTTTCTGGTAACTACAGTTCATGGATTAAAAGCAGCTTCAAGGAATGTCATTTAGGATATTCAATCAGTCAATGAAATAAACAATTATATTCACCTAATTTATTCGTTAGAATAGTGTTTTTCAGGTAAAACTTGCCTTTTAATCGTGTTCAGCAAGGATCAATTCCCGGATGTTTATGTACCAACTGTGTTTGAAAATTATGTTGCAGATATTGAAGTGGACGGAAAACAGGTAAGTCATTTGCTGTGTAACATTTCCAAGTTTTTGGTGTACTGACATCCGAAAATGACTCATGCATCCAATTTAACAAGTTCTAGGCGAATAAATTGCAAATATTTTCTGAAGCAGGATTATTATTACCTCAAATTGTATCTTGTTCTTGTTTGATTTTAGGTGGAACTGGCTTTGTGGGATACTGCTGGCCAAGAAGATTATGATCGATTAAGGCCACTCAGTTATCCAGACACTGACGTAATCCTGATGTGTTTTAGTATTGATTCACCGGATTCGTTAGAAAACATTCCAGAAAAGTGGACACCCGAGGTACACATATAGTTGGATGCTACTAATAAATATATGCTTTCAATATATGTTTCATATATTAAACATTTGGATGATTGTGGGGAATGTTCCACACAAGTATTGGTTGCCGCTGTGACTGCAAAGTAGTCTCACCCGTTTTTTTTTTAAATAACGTACGGTTTACGTATATTCAAGAATTCAAAAATTTATTCCAAGTTCTTATCATTCGTATCATATTTTGGGGAAATACATGAGATATGGGTCATCATAAATCGGAGAACAGTAATTCCAAACAGCTTTATTTTGTTGAGAATATGCATATTTTATTTCAGGTACGTCATTTCTGCCCGAATGTCCCAATAATTTTGGTCGGCAATAAAAAAGATCTTCGTAATGACCCACAAATGGTGCGTGAATTGGCAAAGATGAAACAAGAACCAGTACGTCCGGAACAAGGCCGTGCGATAGCCGAACAAATTGGTGCTTTCGCATATTTGGAATGTTCCGCTAAAACAAAGGATGTCAGTTCATCATTTTCTAACCTAATATTTTCAAATAATCTGACCTTACTGTCATACCACTATAAGAAAATACGATGACTGAATAGCAGTGGAGCAGAGGTGACACATTTTGACATTAAATGGAAAGCATTAATCAGTCCTCACAAAATACTGTTGTGGGTCTGGTACATAGTATCGATTTAGCTGGTTCAAACTAAGAAGCCAAACCACCATCAATTAGGTTATTTGAGCCGGTGGATTAAAATAAGTGCTCAGATGATTAACAACATAAATCTTCGTTATTTAGTGGAAAAATTCCTCTTAATTTCCAGGGAATTCGAGAAGTGTTCGAAAAAGCAACGCAGGCTGCACTGCAGCAAAAGAAAAAGAAAAAGAAGTGTGTCATTCTTTGATTCAAGTGGATTCGGAAATTGCACATTGTTGTTTTTGATGGAGAAGGAGATGAGATTGGAGGAAAGTAGGAGAGAAAGGTTCATCTTACTTCTTCATGATCAGTTAAGAAATATTGATTGTCAATTACTATTCAGCCGTTCTACTTTGTCAGTAATTTCTTACCGTTGTGCAAGAGATGCTTTATAATTATTTATTGATTACTGAAATGGCGAGTGTCCAGAAAGGAAAAATGAATTATCGTTTGTACTACATTTTGCAATATTCATTATTATTCTCAAAATTAAAAAATTAACCATTCCAGTGGTGGGCCTCACTTCCGTTTAACATAAACATATATTCCGCGCAATGTTTTTCTATTTTCTTTAACGTTGTTATTTAAAAATTTTCAATCTTGTCTGACTTCAGTATGTTGATATGCACTCTGCTTAATTTTTACCACTATTATTTATTACTATTATGGTTATTGTTGCTTCCTGTGTTTTGAAATCCAAAAAACATCTCATGTTGTTAAGATGGAGAGTTTGCTGTTATTTATAGGGAATGTGTAATAAATTAGTTCTTTCCAGTTGATGTGTACGTTTCTTCTTGTTAACAGACAACAGCTAAGCATTAGAATTAGATTTTGGTGCAAACAGGTAAAATCCAAGTTTCATACATCACTAGGATTCACGTTGTTGATTAGACCTGAAAAGTATCCGTGGCATTGGTCATCTATTTTCTGAATGGTGAATGCGGTGTAATGAAATTATACAGAATGGTGTAGAAAGGAGAGGGTGGGAGAGTTATGCTTTCCACAAATCGCTTTGCAGGGTTATATAATGTTAAAAGAATTTATGGATCTTAAGAAAATGTTCGGATGATAATGGGTTATTCGCAGCTGGTATAAAAGATGAAAGATGATGACGGGATTTCCGGGACGGTGATGAAGGAGCAGCTGTGAAAATTTTTCAAAAGCACTGTTTAAAATGGATGCTTTCCTCAACAAGTGCTTTTTGGAACCGTTCTTCTGTTGGTGGTCATCGTTTTGTTCGTTTTTTATTGCTTTTGCTGCTTGAAACGAACATCTACCATCCGCTTCTTCCATAACAATTCTTTTCTTTTCTTGTTTGGCATTAAAGCTTGATTTCTTCTGCTATCCAATCACTGTTTATGATCAACAACTCTACCAGAAAATCTAATCGCGATAAATTATTTCATCATTGGATGAAAAGGCTAAATATACGGTAGGATACAATTCTCATATGGTTCATATGATCCGAGATTAGGCTATCCAAACTTAGTGAAAGCATAAGTTGGATGGGACGGTTTTATAATCGCTATTGCATGATCGTTTATGTTGACGATTATGACATCATCAATATAACGAAATGCGTCAAATCTGCTCACTAAACGGTCCTTATGATTGTGAAGTGCTGCAGAAATGACATACTTGATGCTTAAGTAGTGGATATAGTGCAATCCAGTAGTTTGGTATTTTATTTATCGAGCATATTAATGCTCTTCAACAATGTATCGACCATTATTCCATTGGCAGTAGGAATTCATTTGTTTCGAATGTTCGAAAGCATAGATTTTTTATACTGATACTTTGGTGTTCGGGATTTAGATGATGATAATGGCACATGTTAGAAATCCTGAATCTTTCCAGATGTAATTCTATGTATTAGAATCTTGAAGTTTGAATTGAAATTATGGTATTTAAAAGCATCAATAATTTGGGAATCAGTAATTAACAATAACATCAATGATCAAAACTTTATGAGTCCAACAAGCTGATAAGAATTTTCGAAAAGTCTGATGGGAATTTTCAATATCTTTCAACCATGAAATCTTATCAACTCTGATTAAATTGATAAAGCTCTTGCAACAAATTGTAATAACCACAGATACTGTAGCATTTGCAGTGAAATTCCAATGGTTAAAGGCAATAAATTTTTTGATCAATAAAAATTGATAATTTTTGTATCAATAGGGCAAATCAAACAATGAAAACCAAGTTACGGATCTTTCCTAACAGCAATAAATCACGAGGATGAATAATCCGGAAATTTTATTCAATTGAAATATGATTTTCTCAATGTAATAATACAATAAATACTCTAAAAAGATAAAAGTGGTATAAAAATAAAGGGGAAAAAAGAAGTAAGTATGAGAGCATTGATGAATTTAGTTGTTTCAGAGATGTAATCGGTAATTTATTTTTACACATTTACAAATTTTTCTGCCTTTTTATTGTCATTAATGGAATTCTTTCATCATTTTAGTGACATTACTATTATTGTTATACTAATTTCATAAGCTTAAAATATAAATTAGAAAGAATAACATTTATAGAAAAGAAATAAGAAATCGTTCAAAAAATTACATTCCATCTTCTATTAATTTACTTAAATATCTCATTTTTTAAATTTTCAATCAGTTCCTTCTTTTTTTTAAAATTTCATTTTATTTAACAGAAATTTCTTTCCCAAAAATTAAAAATAATTGCTCGTTAATTCTTGATCTTGCCTTTGTATACTTTCCCGTTTTTACATTTCTTCACACAAATCACAACTACACACCTAAAATTGCTTATTACATTTAATGAAATTTGAGAAAATTTTCATCTAAACAACTCATACTTTTCCTCTCCCTTCCCACACTTTTTCCTTTCATCATTTCATTCAATTTCATCTTTTCTTCCATCCTGATTTCCTGCTGGAAAGCCACAATCCAAAGCAGTCACGGAATTGCGACACAAATCTCTTTCTATTCCCTCTCTCTACTATCTGAATCCTTTCATTCGTATAATTTTCAAATGATCAATGATCGTTTATCAATGATTGTAGCCTACTCCAACTTTCCTAACAAAGCATTCATTATCATTATCCTAACATCTCGTGTTTTCGTTTAATCAGGGTTAGGGTTAAAGGGAGATATTGAAGGGTGTCGGAATACTATAGGATGATAATTGGAAACTTCAAAGAAACAAATTTGCTTATTTTTAATTGACCTTAACAATGCTTACAAATTTCCATCTATTTCATTAAAAAATCAAGATTCCTTTCTTTCATCTTTTCCATAAAAAATATCTTCATCCAACAAGCTTAATGGATAAAATGGATAGCATGCTTTAAAGCATATGATCATTTAACAAATCTTCATCATGTTGGAAGTGTAGTCAACATTTCTGAAATTGATTTGATAAGATACGCTATCGTAATCATATCCAAGTGCTCATTTTGCTTAACCAATTTTTATGATTGCATTTTCTCGTTATGATTTAAAACTTTATTAAGCATTTAAGACAACTGTTAAAATAATTTTCCATCTCTTTCCACTCCCTTTTTTTTCCCATCCTTATCCAATTCTTGAGTGCTATTTTTCCCTCATCAATGTCATTAATTTTCCTCCCATTGTTTTCCTCAGTTATTTCTTCTCAAGTTTTCACAACAATTTTCGAAGTTTGATTAAATTAGCGTCAAATTTCTTCTCGTTTCCTTTTTTCTTTTGTTTTATAAACTTTTCTCATCTTCAATTTCATTATTTCCCATAAATTACTTTCATTGCTATACATTACTAGCAACTTTTGTCTTCCTTTGTCTTTTGAAAAAATCATCCAACAAATTTCGGAATTATATTGATTTTTTTTTAAAAATTATCCTTCAAGTTCTTAATTTTTAGCTTAATCTTTTTGACCTGAAACATTGATATATGTGTTAACCTGCTTAAATTTTGCTCAATTCGTCATTTGATGATGTTTAATGCAAAGGAAAAATGAAGCGAAACATTTGAAAATTCATTATCTCATTTATAGCTAATTTTTAAAGGATTGTGAGGAAGATTAGAAGATTGTAAGAGAGAGAGAGAGAGAGAAAGAGAGAGAAGGAGAAAAAAAGGAAATGGAAAAGGAAATGGCGATAAGGGATTGAACAGGAAATACAACTATTTAGGTATTAATACGATTCTAATCTGAAACTAATCTTCCTATTTCACCATCTAACAGATCCTATAATCTTTTCCAATTTCACGAAATTTCCATTTTTTACGCCTTCATCCACAAAATTCATTGCTTTCTCTTACCTTCAATCTCTTATATTTCGCCATATTTTCATTGATTTCATAATTTTCCTTAAGATATTATAAATTAATTAGTGGGAAATTAAATACAGTAGTGATATTTGGAATTAAGTCATGATTGATTGATAAGTTTGTAAAATTCTTCCCATTTCACTCATCCATTTATTTATTTACTTATTTAACTCATTTAAATTCTCAATTATTTACAAATTTATGGATTCTTTTTCGCATTTTTTCTTAAATAGCTATAAATATTCACATTTTATTATTGTATGAATGTATGCATCAAAATTTCAATTCTTGGATTATGAGACTTTTAGTTGCTCAAATTGACAATTGATATTTTAATTTATACCTTTTTCCACATGTTGTTTCCTTTTTTTGCTGACTCCACAACTATCAATTGTTTAAAATAATTCATATTGGAATTGTCTAACTTTATAAAGTTCTGTAATTTTCAAGATTGCATCATAGACAAATTCAGGATGTCTCTCTCTCTCTCTCTATATATATATATAGTACTTACTTTACAGAAACATCGTATACAAATCAGTATTCAAGCGATTTTGGCATTTAGAGTGAGATTTCTGGAAGGTGAATCATTGATATCCAGGATCGATATGGCAGCGATCCGAAAGAAATTGGTTATTGTCGGTGACGGAGCATGTGGTTATTACAGTTTACTGTTATTCATTTTATAAAAATTGGGAAATTGGAGAAGCTAAGACTTTCATATAAAACCAAAATAATATCATTGCGTAACGATGATATTTCATTTAATTAAATTAGCATCAATTTAATAGGAAAGAAGAAGTTATAAAGTTTCCCTTCCTACTTCTGTATCACTGCCAAACTTTTGTTTGACACTTTTTCCGGACTACAACCTCATACAATTGTTGGCACCTGTAATCCTAATCTTTTAGGACACAAAGAAAGGGTAGAAAAGTTAGGCGATGAAATCTCTAGAATTTTATCGTAGAGATCGTAATCTAGACAAGAAGATTAGCAATAATGTTGAAGTTGCAGGAAAACTACACCATCACTTTTATCTCATTTCATAACTTTATCATTTGAATCTAAACTATTCCAAACTTTATCAATTGTCAATTTGAAAACTTTACCACAGTCTATCACTATCCTCATCATTGTCTCCAATCCTTTAATTTATGGAAATATTTGAGAATTTCTGCGCAAGTTTAATTTCAACAACAAATCAAACTAATTTTTCAAATATTGCATCGTTTTTTTCCCCTCCCACCATCTGTTAAACTAAGCCAAAAACTAATTTATATTTTAATAGCTGTTCAATTTTAAATCTATAATTTTGAGCTTATATAATCCATTACTGATTTCATTCTTTAGCTTGCATCCATCTGTACACTGTAAATTATAAACGATTGGAAATTTCCCAACAAATTTCAGTTGCTTGCATATAATAAGCATTATTTTCAATCATTAATAATCCGATGATTATAAATAAGTAAACAGGAAATTTAATTGTAAATAACAATGTCTTTGATGTCAAATTTTATCAGGGAATTTTAGCGTTGTGTTAAATCTTGCTTTCTCTTGCTTTCTTGCAGATTATCCGAAAATTCAATTATTTCAGAATTAATTATTTTTTAGCAAAGGATGAATTGCATGTAGTATAAAATGAATTCTTTAAACAAACATTTAAAGTTATTGCAAACGAAAAGAATTTTATTCATCACATTCATTCCATTCATTAATCACCCTTTGCTGCGAACTTTCTCTAAACTAAGAAAATTCAAAAATCAGACTGATATACACAAAAAACAAAGGGAGGAAAGAAAGAATGAAAAAACACTTTTTATTTAAATTTGTTTTCAAATTTTCAAAAATCCAGTTGAAATTTTTATTCTGTGGGTTAAAAAGAGAAATGCAAAAAAAAGATAAAATAAATTTATTTTCGGTACAATTTCTTTCTTTTAGTTTAATATCGTTTTACTAAAAATGGAAATATTTTTCACGTATAACGTGAAAAACACATGAATGGTGGATGCAAGGTAAATGTATCGAAGCATAATTGTTGTAAAATATAATTTAAAGGGCCAAGATTTTGGAAGGACGAAATATGAATTAATACATTTTATTCATTTATTACTTAAGATATAGCATGAATTTTTACTATTATTGTTAGTTTTAACAAAAAGTTTTTGAACTTTAAAAAATTAAATTTGTTTGAAAAAAAGTAAAAATGGACAATTTTTTGAGGAAAAACTTGCTTACTGATTGTATTCAGTAAGGATCAATTTCCGGATGTTTATGTTCCAACAGTATTTGAAAATTATGTTGCCGATATTGAAGTTGATGGTAAACAAGTAAGTTTTTTCATAAAAAATTATCAGCGATAGGGGTTTTTTTCTAATTTAATATTCTGCTTTCTTTTCAATTTTGAAATATGACCAGTCATTATTTGTTAATAGATGGCAAGTCAATATTGAAATGTTATGTAAGTCAAGGTAGAATTGGCTCTATGGGATACAGCAGGTCAAGAAGATTATGATCGATTGAGACCGTTAAGTTATCCTGATACTGATGTGATATTAATGTGCTTTAGCATTGATTCACCGGATTCATTGGAAAATATTCCAGAGAAATGGACTCCTGAGGTTAAAATTTTTATCAATTAATTCACACTGTATTTCAGTTCCAAAACTGTTCCAAAAATAGCACAGGTTTAGATAGTTGTCGCCGAATTTCTTGGTTTCAAGCATGAGTAATTGAGTCTTTATTCCTCAAAACTCGGTAACACAGAAACGATTTCAACGATTATAATATCACTATGAGCAAAAGGAGGATCAAAAAAACCAATAACGCCCGATATCATCGATCCAACCGACCTGTTGCAATACTTCTTGCGAAAATGATTTGGCGCTCACGACCACCTTCTTTTTATTGCTGCAATTTCGCGTTATGGCTTTTGGAGTTTTTCCGACAGATAGCATATAGATCTGAAATATTCTTTTAAAAAGAAAAATAATAAAAAAATTTCTGAGAATAACATAAACCTGTTATTCACTAATTTTTGAATCTTTTAGTTCTTTAATTGTTCAAATTTCGACTACATATACTAATCAATTTCTTTGAATTATTTGCCCAATTAACTGCTTCTTCGTTTAATTTTTTGTACGGTTATTTACTGTTTTATATGTTGCTAATTGTTGAGTTTTATATCAATTAGATAGAAATAAACTTCAAAAATTACGATTAAATGTTGTACTGGAAAAGAATTACAGGTTCGACATTTTTGTCCCAATGTTCCGATAATACTGGTAGGTAACAAAAAGGATTTACGCAGTGATGCACAAACTATTCGAGAATTACAAAAAATGAAACAGGAACCGGTAAAATATGAGCAAGGAAAAGCAATGGCTGATCAAATTGGTGCTGCATCTTATATCGAATGTTCTGCTAAAACTAAAGATGTATGACTCTTTTTTTTTCTTCATTAATTCAAATTATCATCAAAAATTAAGGTTTATCACTGATAAAAGTGCCAACAAGTTAAAATTCTCATATCAATTGTATTTTTCAAGATATATTTTAGATTGAATTTGAAATTGGATTTAACTTTTAAAAATTCTAATTAAATATTTTCCAAGGGTGTACGGGAAGTATTCGAAATGGCTACTCGTGCAGCTTTAGCAGCAAAAAAGAAGAGAAAACACAAATGTGCTTTGCTTTGAAATTGTTACCATATAAAATTATGCTTTTAATACATTTATCACATGTTCACTTCCATTTGTATGATAATTTGATTTCAAATTTAATTAATAAATTTCATTTGAGCTTCAAATAACAGTCATTTTTTTCTTTCGCTCTTTTCTATTCCAAAACAAAAACGATGCAATAAAATTCCAGAAATTAAAAACAAAAAAAGCATATATAGAAAGAAATATGAGCCTAAAGCAGTCTTTGATATCCGTGTGGGATATCATTGGATTTTAAGTATTCAGGCTAATATTACATTAAATGTTCAATCATTCAATTTAATCCATCAATTAACTGAATGGTCAATTATAAGTTACTCAATCAAAAGATAATGAACATTGTTAAAATTAAAATATATTTGCGCACCATTTCTGACGCAACTTTTACTACAAGATATTAAATTACACTGTATATTGAAATATAACTTTTTTTTTGAAATTCTCAAACACAAACTATCTTCGGGAACTTCGAGAATTCTCCTCGAAAAGTTTACCAAATGTTTTGTTTTGCTTATTTCTACAAATTTTGAAATGAATGAAATCCATTCATTTATTTAGCTGACTTCAGCATACTTATTTGCTATAGCTATTAGACAGATCGTAAATCACTTGAACACCTCATCATTAATTAATACTGATATGCCTTATTAAATTCTCCGGAAGTTCTTTCAGTTAGCATAAATCTTCCGCAAATTGTGAATTTGGCTAGATTTTTTTTTTTATAAAACTAAGAAAGAGAATTAAATAACTATCGCATTTATCCAGTAATTGTTGATGAAAACTTCTCGGCTATGATTGTTAATATAATAATACATTGCTTTATCATAAGGGTTAATTAATATATTGCTTTGTAAGAAAAGTTAATTAATGCATTTACTTCATCAGAAAGAATTATTTTGATTAAAGCACTGGGACAAATCAGAAAAATCTTTTCACAATTTGATAAATGAAAGCAACAAATTACTCGTTATAAATTTATACCATTAAAATTTCAAATAAGAAAAAATACTTATTAATTATAAATTTTAGTCATAAACGGATCAATAACAAGATGAAGTATTGTGAATTCTAATGGTTGGATAATGTTGAAGGAAGGTTCATTTCATTTGAGCAATATAAATTTTTCATTTATCTTTTTTCCTTATAATTGCAAAAATTTACACTAATTTTTTTCATCCTTATTCTCACAATGATTCATTTCCATACTTGTCTATGCAAGAAAATTGAAATGCTAAAAATAACATCGATGAAATTATCGATGAAATACTCTTAAAATGACTTATTGAAATATTTGCTAAGTTCTTGAACAATATGTGCAATTATGATTATAACATTGTTTTGTTAAAAAGAGATTGGAAAAGAAAAAAAGGAGCATTCAAAATTTAATCTAAAATGTATAAATGGAAGGATTTTTCATTTGTTAGCCTTAAATTTTTCCAATTTCAATTAATTAAAAGTTTACAAAATTAAGTTCATGGAAACAGAAAAGTAAAATGGATCAAACGGATTGACTTGGAAGATTTCAAGAATTTTATAAAATGGACAAATTGGTGGTATGACAATAAGAATTTCGGCGATCAATGGTTATTCTGTTTTCTGCATTAGTATAAGTTGAAAGTAAGGAAAGAAATGTATATTATTGCTTACCACTTTTAAAATGCGTCATAGTTAATAAAATTTAATTATGTTGTAGGTTTTGCAACGGGTATTATCTGCAAATATATCACTTTATCACAATCATGTTTTCAAGTTACTCCTAATCACATATTTTAGATTTATTTGGTTAAAGTGATTGTTGAAAGAATTATTCGAGAATGATTCCTCCCGAGAAAAGTTGGTAGTATTATCAGTTAATCGATTTCTGTTAACATCTACCGTTTATGATTGAAAGTAATAAAATAGGAAACAATTAAATCTATCACAAAGTCATTGGGATTCAGTTTCGTTTCATTCGTTCAGAATTTAAAAATACAACAAACTCGTTGATAGCCACAAATTATTATTTTTTACATAAGGAGTAATTGATAAAATAGATGAAGGATGTGAAATTAAAAAGAAAAAAAAAACTTCCAATTTCGTTATTTGGATTAAATTTTAATAATCCAGGATTAAGTTATTAATTATTAACTGAAATTGAATTCCATTCACCTTTAAAATATTTTGAATAAAGGACAAATAAAGTGTATGTTATAATTGAAAGTATTAAAAGTGACTTATGCAATTACATACATTGTTTTCATACTTTTTAGATTTCCTTTTTCTCTTTTAATTCGAAGTAATTTTTACAGGTAACCAACAATGAACAAATTTAATGCAAATGAATATAGCGTGAAAGTATGACAAATGCCTACTTTATACGTGAAAATATTAAATGCATATTCTATTACAGTTGACAATCATAGTTGACAGTACCTATGGATTGTAAAATTTCGAGATTTTTTATTGTTGATCGGGAAATAATTAGTCAAAATTCAATTAGACCAACTGAAAAATGTGTAATTTAACTATTTTATGAAAAGATTGGGACATTAATAATGTAATATTATCATAGGAAGTGGAAAAATTCTAGGAGGAAGCACTATTCATTCATATATGACTTATCGTTTATTTTAAGAAAATAATTTATTGCCTTATTTGTCACAGTATTGCCAATGTCACACATTTTTTTTCTCCTTCATTGCTTGGAATTCCTTTTTTTCTTTCCTTTGATATAATTTTACATATTGTCAGTTTTGTCGATGCTATTGAATTGTTTATTGCTTGACTTTACCAATGAACAAGCAAATATCGTCCTGAAGAATATCATTGAGTGTTGTTTTTTAATGATAATGATACTGATAATACAGATAAAGAAAACGTAACCTTGTGGTAAAATTACATTTCTGGATTTCCGTAAAGGCAGATATTCTTAGATAAGTAAGTTTAAAATTCTGAGGTTGAACCTCTTGGTTCAACTTATTGCAAAGATATATACGATACTTTGTGTCTGTACGATACTTTATACATACGACACTTTGTGTCTATACGATACTTTATGCATACGACACTCTGCATCTATACGATACTTTCTGTATATGATACAGTACCTTATGTCTAATTTTTTTCTTTCCTTTTTTTATTAGTCGGAATTTTTGATCATATCACTTTGTCATACCTCAAAACCATGAATTTTATTTCGAATCATTTTGTTTTAAATTCATTTTATGTCATTTTTTTTTTCAAATACTATCGATTTCATGGGGAGAAAGAGAGAAAACAATTTCTGGCTAATTGATTCGACTCACAATTCAGTTTAATTCTTTTTTTTTGAATAACTGCAGAAGAAAGACTAAAAACTCATTATTTGATTCATTGTTTTATAATTGACCATACTGATTACAATTTTAGTGCTTTAAACTGCATCTGTATGCGGAAGGCAATGGATGAATATTAAAAAAGTGATAAGAAAAAATATAGAAATCCATTTCATCAAATTTATTTGAAATCACATAATATTATCCAATATAGGTATGGTATCTAACTAGTATCATCATTATCATTTTCATAATTATCATTACAATGCTTCAAAATATACGGTTGTTATATGCCAATAAAAAAGGATATTAAAGAAAAAAAAAGGAAGGAGTGATAGAAATACTTTAGATAACTCATCACTATCATTATCATCATCATCATCACTATTTTTATCACTATCACTGCTTTCATCATTCAAAGATTATAAATCATTATTAGCTCAATAAAAATATTTGTTTAAAAGTCTTAAATGATACTTTATAAATGCATTTTCATCATATAACCTAATTTTACCCATTAATTCATTTCATTTGATATTATTTCAGGGAAATTTTATTGATGAATTAGTTGGTAAAATTATTATCCAGTTGTTTTCCATCCCTTTGTTTTAATAGGAAATATTTGAAATGAAATGTTTTCTTCATTATTTCCACTTTTTTCTTCCTTTCTCTATTTCCTACTCCTTCTTTTCTGTTATTCTTCAAAAATTTTACGTTTATTTTTGTGTTTAGCTAATTCTTTTTGGCAAAAAAATTTCGCAATCCTTTGTTACGAAAAAATAATTCGAACTTTGATGCACTCCTGAATTATTTCCTCTTCGTAATTTTCTTGCGATCGGATGTCAATTGGCAACAATGATTTCCCGTCCATTTCAGATGATGTCATTTGGCTATGTTGATAATAAAATGTAAATTAAATCAGTCAAATTTCAATCATTCCAAAAATTGACGAAAGGAGTGAAATCAACAATTGAAATCAAACTACTGAATATAGAGAAATATGAAAATAAAAGCTTAAAATATGTCGACATATGTTAAATTTTTCGTGAAATATTCATGTTTTACATGAACTGTAGAACATTTCTCTATTTTTAGCAAGATTTGAAGAGCGACTTATTAATTTGAAATTTGTAAACAACACTTTTGCTTCATCGAAAATTCTAATTTACTCAATAATTTTCGTTTTTGTCATAAATGTAATTTCTATTTCAACAATCATTTTTCATTCTTATTGTTCAAATTTTGCAGTAATTGGAATACCTTTTTTCCCTGAAATTTAAGAAAATTTTATTTGGCAAAAATTTTGCAGCGTAAAAGTAGTAAAAATTTGTTAACATTAATTTATTCAAAATTTTATTTCGTTTCTCCAAAGTTGAACTGTTTCATATAAATTGCTACAGTCCGAGAGTTACAAATAATGGATTTTTTGTACATTTCTAGAAACATGAAACTGTAATTAAAATGAAGTAGAATGTACTCTAATAAAAATAGGAATTAAATTTTTCTAATGGTTTTTCAATTCATCGATATGAAATGATTTATTTGTCGTATTTATACAGTTGTAAATTATTTGATAAGCACAGTAAATCTGGCTGTAGGATGAACATTCTTCAAAATTTTCAAAACTTTTGAATATTCCTCTTTATAAGCTATTAATTTCATTAATATTTACAAATCCATTGACAAATTCAATTTGTTTTGCTGATTAAAAAAAGGTAGAAGTTGTATTAATGGCGAAGAAAAATTAATAAATATTAAAACAATTTTTCAATACGATCCCTCTTAATTGAAATAATTTCTATCTTTCTTTGATCACTTATAACAAATTAAATTTGTTGATGGATTTGCAAATATCAATGAAATTAATAACCTATTAATAGAAATATTTGAAAGCTTGCAAAGTTTGACAAATGTCCTTTTTTTCCCATTCAATATCAATAACTTTGTGTCACATACACATTTTACTTTTGTTTCACTAAATCTACTTTTTTTTTTGCAAATTTTTAAAGAAAAAGGAATTATCCAAAAATTTGAATTTACCATCAACAATTATGGTAAAGGTGATAAGATAAAGAAAAAGAATGATAAAAAAAGTATTCCTGATAATAGTAGTAAAATAGACTAAAATCAGAGAAGCAAACAATCTGATGAATAGAAGAAATGATGAATATTTGATGAATAACTTTACACCATATCCTAATTATTGTTACCAGTGAATGTATATATGCTTCCAATAAATTCCTCACTCGGATTGCAAAATGAATTTACTCCCTTCCACTTCTATCACCATTTCCTTCAATTGTCCTGTTTCTATCCAATCAACATTTTTCATCGTACTATTTTATTTCTCTTCATTCATTATTTACTTGGTTACTTCTATTTAAGTTCATTTCATATCTATAATTGTATTCAAATTCAATCCTTTTTTTTTATCTTCTTTAACTTTTTTTTTCTATCAGAATTTGTAATAAATTGAAGAAAAAGATGAATGGATAAGGAGCACTTAATATTATTCATGCAAAAATATGCTAATTTTGGGAAAATAGCATAAATTTTATAAATGATTTACTTAAATAAATTGCACGGATTCTCAAAAGAGATATTTTAATTTTGACAGAAAATGACAAATTGTAATAGAGAAGTATTTTGATTTTCTCCAATAATTAGTAGTTTTTTGAAACAAAAAAGATAATGATATATTATATGTCCATCGTCATATGTTTATCCAATCATTATTGTTATTCAAAATTAGATTTTAAATCCGTGTAATATTATTACTATCGTCTCAATGACCATAGAAACAATCTTTGGCATTAATTAATTGCATTTTAGAAGGAATGAAGAAGCATCAGCCACTGTTATCAGATGAGTTTAAACATAATTGAAATGAAATTTTAGGAGAATATTTACACTAATTGCTTCCAGATTTTATTCTTTTAATAGTTTCCACCATTCTCTGATATGAAATTTTGTAGTTAATAAGTCTTATTTATAAATTGTAAATGGAACTGGAATCAAATTGATCAACGTCATTTTTATTCCTTATGAATTTCAATTGGGAATGAGAGCAACATATTGGATGATGCATTTTCATTTATCTTCATATCTTTTCCTAAAATCTTTTCTTTTTTTTTTTTAAAGTGATCTTTGAGATTACAATTGATCAAAAATTTGTCTCTTCCCATTTGGAATGCGATGATTCTAATGGGAAGAGATAACTTTTCATATTTGTTATGTTTTTCATGTTATCTTTTAGTAACAAACGATTTGCTATTAAGATAAAACTGCTAAATCTTTGAAAAGATCACACGTCAATCACGTTTGTTTCCAGCATACGTGATTGACGTGATCATTTCAAAGATTTTCCAAGTAAGATCTTTATCAAATTTTATTACATCTATTGATTTATTTTTATCTTGCCTTAAAAAAAAAGCACAGTGATGTTTGAAGTTTTTTTTTTAATCTCTTCAAAATAGAACATACTTAAAACTTGCTTGTCCATTTTGAAATTTAAAAAAAGTTGAATTGATTAATTAATATCGGTCCATTGAGTAGTTGTATCAAAGATATGGATGGATTATCATCTGAACCATTGGTATCTTATATAATAGCAAAAAAAAAAAAAAACGAAAAAAATTGAAAATAGAAGAAAAATTAACAAATGGGAGGAAAAAAGAAAGATAGATGCTCCATTTAATCACTGCTAATATTTTAAATTTCGAATAATGAATTATAGGAAATCCAATTTTCGATGAAATTTTTTTTAATTTAAAAAGGAAATTTGTTGCTTTTTTTTTCTTCCTCTCACAGATATAGATACTTAATTGAGGATGAGAGAATTCGTATTGAAGAAGCAGCTGGAGAGGTACTTAAAGTTGAATGATGAATTAAGCTTTGAGTGGTAATCGAAAAAGATTTAATTAGCAATGTTCAAAAGTAGTGAAAATTGTTTATTTTATTAGTGATGACGTGAGGTAATGAGAACGTCATTTACTCAATCAAACTGATGTTATTACGTCAAGCAATAATTAATGAATATTTTATCATTTTTATGCACTAAATCATCTACCACTATGATGGTTAATTATTTTGATGTCATCAATTTTTAGGATGATATATTTGAAGGATAAAATGGAATTGAATCAACTATCATTGAATTATTAGTGTCATGGTATCGTTAATCGATAAATTATTTTAAAAGATGTAATAATTTAATAAAATAGCATATCAGTATTAATCTTAATTATGATCATTTATACATTCATACTAAAATGTCATTATAAAATTCTGCTCCGGAGAATGGAATCATAAATTTTTATAGATATATCTTATGGGAATAAAATGAAAGTGTATTTTTGGAAAACTTAAAAAACAATGGTCTTAATTTAAAATTTAATGAATGACTTGCTTTTGAAGAATTAACTCAAAATTTTATCTACCCGTTAAACTCAAAAGTTAATACCAATGTAAACTGCAATCGACCGCACAGATATCAATTTCAGGTTGTTCAATTCGAATTTTCAGGACATTGCTATACCTATTTTACCAGAAAATTTATTGATGAAAGAAAAAGATGATAAATATAAATTAGCATCAGCTAATGAATAAAAATCATTAAACCTATTCCATTTGTATTAAAATGGAATGATACAATTGCCGAGGGAATAGGAATCATATTAATTTATGATGGTATTAATAATATTTAAGCATAATTTTAAAATTTAATTTAATTTAATTCTCATAATAGGATAAACTATGAAATTAGTGATAAGAGAATACTAATGTAAATAAAGGAGGGAAAATGAGCAGAAGCAAAAAAAAGGGCATATAAAAACAATGAAATGAAATGAAAATATAGTAGTAAGGGAAAATTAGAGAAGTTGATGAAGTAAGCAAGAATGGATGAGATTAGCTAATAAAGTTTAACAATGATGTTACTTCCATTCCAAATCAAAGAATAGCAACCGTATTGAATTGTCTTCTTCTTTTTTTTTCTCTTTTTGGCTAAAAATTATATATATATATATATCTGTCAATTTTGTTGTTCTCTTTTTTTTCTTTTTTTTTTGTTATGAAAAAAATTAGTACAATAAGTTAGATGTTTTGATGTATTGAAGGTAGCAATCAGTTAGCTTCAGATTATAACCGAATTTCCGGATTGAATGTAATGGAAGTGATGAATGAGAGGAAAAGAAATGTTCCATTTGAATGAGCAAATAAGCGCTTGTAAGTAAGTAAACATTGCATTGAATATTTTCCTATTCACCATCCATTTGCGAATATTGATGTTCAATTTGATCCGATTTAATTCCATTCCATTCTATTCCATTCCATTTCATTCGATTCAATTCGATTTATTCTGATAAAATTTAGCTTTTAATTATCTTAAATGTTTAATTGATCATGACAGCATAATATTTATATATCGGTATGAGCGCACATAGATGCATCATAATTTCCATTAGTTTTAATTCGCTGCTTACTCTTCATTGATTTTATCAATAATTAATCATAAAGTTATTCCTATCATACATATTTCTTATCTATAAATTAATTGATATATTCTTTAAAAATGTTATGCATTTGCTTTCTCAAAATTTCTTGTTATTTAAATATAAGATTATAAGAATGAATCAGATAACAAATGAATAAGTAGTCGTTTATTTTGAATCTTTTTTCTGTTTATATTTATTTAACCAGTTATATTTTAAATTCTTACGATGTGAAATTTTTTTTTAGATTCCTTTATCCAACATTTCTATCATCATATTGAACATAGTGTTTTAGAATTATAAAAAATAATGTTTTAATAGTTGTACAGTACATATTTGCTAATTACAGTGGAATGCTTACTAATTACAGTACATGCTTGCTAATCACAGTGTATGCTTACTAATTATAGTATATGCTTATTTATCATTCCTAATCTTTCTTTTTTTAACATCATTTTGTAAATTTAAATCATTTCTTGCATTGTTTATCTTATTCTTTTTATATTTAAAAGTAATTAACAGTAATTTAGAATGAATAAATATGCATATTCTTATCAAAAATTTTCAACTTTTTTCATTTTGCATCATTTAATTGAAATAGCAATACCTTGCACATATCATATTTTTCATTTGAACTTCAACATTAATCAAAAAAAAGGGGGGGGGAAAAAAAAAGGAATATCAAATTTTCGTACACTTTAGCCTTCTCAATATTATCTTAGACAATTAATGGATGATAATCTAACATTTTGATTATTGCTTTTTAATTAATAATGTTATCTTCGTTTGTGATAAAGGATTATCGTTAGATGAAATTGTAAGTATCATTTTTATTAACTTAATTATTCTTCCATTTCTTCCTTTTCATGCATTATTATTATATTCAACGAAGCGATCGGTATTGATCTATTTATTGATAACATTTCTGAAAGCATATCGATTATTTCTTAATTGAGTATAAATACATATATTTCTTGTGCGACAATGATTTCACATAATTTGATTCAAGTTTTTTATCAAAATGATAATTGTCACATTGAAGCTAAAAAGATATCGGTGATTTAATTAATGACATAAATATTTGTTATGGATAAGGAAGAAAAGAAATGTAACATTGTACTGCTTAACAAATCTAATTATCAATATAAATTTGACCTTTTACACTGTCTCCTGGAGGAGTATTAACTTTCTTTGTTGAATAAATGGAAACAATTTATGATTGAAATATTAATATAAACCTAAATGGGAAGCCAAACGATCTGTTTGGATTTACAACAATTGCGGATACAAAGAAAATTTTGAAGTTTTACTGTTTTTCATACAAATTTCCTCATCCACATTTCTCATTTTATCCTTTCACATACATAGTAACTTCATTTTTCGTTCTTTTCAATTTCCATCAATGACTGATATTTTTAAAAATGCAAAATGTTTGTTTTCAAAAATGTTTAGACATTCTTACCGGATTTTTACCACATGGTCATTTTTCATTTCGAAAATAACATCCGGATTTATTTAAGCACTTTTTTACCGGATTTATTTAAACACGTTTTTACTGGATTTGTTTAAACACGTTTTTAGTATGATTAACAGTAAAATACTTCCGTAACATTTATTCTTTATAATTTGTTTTCCGTTTTTTTCTCTCAAATAAAAAGATTGCAAAATAATAAGCAGCAAACAAGAATATTGCACGATAACATTTCGATACTATTTAGGAGAAAGGCAGAAGAAGAGGAACGAAAATGACAAAAGTTTGAAATGCTAATTTAAATATTTAAAAAAGAATTTATTTGAAAGGAACACTAGGTTTTCCTTACCGTTAATTTAGAAGTTGTATGCGATCTCGAGAATGTTGCAAACTTACTAATTTTTATATTTCTGAAGTTTAACTTGCATTTAACAATGGGAAGATCGGAAGCAAAATATATTGTCATTTTTGTGACCATTTTTATGCTATCAATTGACAAAAAAAATTTTTTTTTTGCATTCATTTTTGTTATTGTAAGGAAAAGTTTATCATTTGATATGCGTGTTTAATTTATTGTTGCTATTGAAATGCATGGATTTTTGCTTGATTATCAACAATTAAAACTAAAGTTTTGCATTTCGAATGATAATAGTTTCAGGGCAATTTCTTAAGTGTTGCACAAGTAAACTAATTTAAACGTCTGCATAATTACAAAAGAAATTGAAATTATACAAATGTTGCGCTAAGCTAAGGTAGAAATTACTTTTTTAACTAAGCTTACTTCCTATTTTCATTTCAGTTATATTCCATTTAATAATTTACACTTATTTATGATGAAAATTTTTGAATGTTTATGCAAAATCACGTTCATATGATTAATAATTTGAAAAAAAAAAAAAGACTGACACGAAAAATTGAAGTAACTTGAATTGAGTGCGATTGAATTGAAATAAATAGTTTAACATTTCTGGTAAAGTTGTTTCGAAATAATTTCACCAACACTTCTTAACATTAAAATTTTGACATTTAAAAATTACAGAGTTGTCGATGTAATGTCATTCGATCTAACGGCACCGTTTCAAGCCGGATTTAGCACTCGTGATCAGATTGAACACCGCCATAAAGTTCATCCTGTACAAATAATTGCTCCACTTTCATCTCAACCTAATCGCTACAAATTTCTGGAAAATTCACTTACTTCTGTGCTTGGACATTCATCCATTGCTAATAAGAAGGTATTTTATTCATTGGTTTAGTACGATTTTATCATCAAATATGCTAATTTTCTATAACATATGAAATGAAATCAAACAAATTTTCATGTGTTTGATGTTTTCAATTTTCAGAATTAAATTTTAAAATAGAAATGTTTTAAAAATAACAAGTATGTTTATTAGTTGAAGCAATCAGCTAACTTTATTTTTAGTTTTTAATAATTAAAACTTTGCAGTTATTTGATTTTCAGGTAGTAATCGTTAGTGTAGCAGGTGTATTTCGAAAAGGAAAAAGTTTTCTACTCAATATATTCCTCGATTATTTGTATAGCTTACAAAAATCACAACAAGTAATTTGTTATAATTCTGGTTGAATTTAAAATCCATTTAATTAAATTTAATAAATTATGTCCTTTTTGATCTAATTTTAATTTTATTTTTATTTTTTATTTTTTTAAAGAATGATACAACTTTGGAATGGCTTCTGGATGATTCACACTTAGGTGGCTTTCATTGGAGAACCGGGATGAAGCGTGACACAGCAGGAATATGGATTTGGGGTGAACCGATAATGATTGAAGCAGCAAACGGTGAAACATATGCTGTTTTATTGGTTTGTTAAAATTTGAAATTATTTCAATAGTTTTTTTTAGAGATGCATTAATTTCATTTCATTAAAATTTTATTTTTTTTTTTGTTAGACAAATTTTTCTTCGAAATTATTTTGTAAGCTAAATTAAGCATAAAGTATCTTTCGTCATTCAGAATTTTGCGCTTTTATTTATTTATTTATTTTTTTGATTACTCGTATATTTTTCCATTATTTTATTATTTTTTATTAAAAATTGAAACAGTCATATTAAATGGACATATTATAGATGGATACACAGGGTACAGTAGACAATGCTGCATTACCGTATCAAATGTCTAGTACTATATTTGCGCTATCAACATTGTTCAGTTCAATACAAGTTTATAACATTGTTGAAACGATACTTGAAGATTCACTTGCAAATTTATCAGTATTTGTTGAATATGGACGACTAGTACTAGATGAAGCTACCAAGTTTAAACCACCTTTTCAGGTTTTATAATATTCTTTTCATCTGTTAAAAACTTCAAATCATTTAATTCTTCTATGAAAAGGAAAATAAAAAGAAAAACACCGTGAAGGAGTATTCACTTGACATGAACATAATTTCTATTATATATAAAAAAAATGCAATATAAATTTTTTAAGTACCAAAGAAACAATTTTTATGTACCAAATTTTGAGCAGTCTTTTTTTTCCCAATTTTTTGACATTATTTACTAAGATATCAATAGAAAACTATCGTAACTTGTCAAAATTTAATGATCGGTTTTTTTCTAATTCAGTTAAAATTTGAAGAATGAGAAGGAGAAGAAAAAAAAACTCAAATTTCAGACAATCGTTTTTGTTGTCCGAGATTATAAATCATCCGAAGAATGCTCGTATGGTTTTGAAGGTGGTATGGAATACCTCAAAACAATGCTCCAAACATCATCATCATCTTATCAGGTTTGTTCGTATATTCCAATTTCTTTTTGAT